GTCAGAGCTGGGAGGGCCCTTAGGACACAGGATGTCAGAGCTGGGAGGGCCCTTAGGACACAGGGTGTCAGAGCTGGGAGGGCCCTTAGGACACAGGGTGTCAGAGCTGGGAGGGCCCTTAGAACACAGAGTGTCAGAGCTAGGAGGGGCACAGACTGTCTGAGCTGGGAGGGGCCTTAGAGCACAGGATGTCAGAGCTGGGAGGACTCTTAGAACATAGAATGTCAGTGCTGGGAGAGCCCTTAAAACATGGAATGGCAGGGCTGGGAGGGTCCTTAGGACAGAGTGGCAAAACTGGGAAAGAACTTAGAATATGGAATATCAGAGCAAGAAGGTACTTAAGGGATTATGTAATAATTATAGTAGAAGTGACAATAATAATAGCATTTCTATAGCGCTTTCTATATACCAAGCACTGTGCTAAGCGCTTTACAATTATTATCTCATTTGATTTTATCACAACTCTGGGAGATAGGTACTATTATGATCTCCATTTTACAGTTGAGGAAACAGGCATTAAGTGACTTATCCAAGGTCATACAAGTGCCTGAGGCTGAATTTGAACTTAGGGCACTCAATCCATTGTACCACCTAGCTGCTTCTATGTGATGGTAACAGAACCCCCTTACCTGACAAATGAGAAAACTAAGGCCTATAGAGGGAAAGGAATTTTCTCAAGATTACAGGATGAGCTAATTGTAGAGCTAAGATTAGAATGCAGGTCTCTGAACCCCCAGTCCAGGGCTCTTCCTGCCCAATTTAAATGACTTTCCTATCAGGATAAAAAACCTCAGGATGATTCAATCAAGTTCCTATGCATCTGATTAGAAGGCTGCCAAGTAGAGGAGTTGGGCAATAGGAAATAAGGTCAAGCATGAGGTCACTCCCCTCACCCCTTCGATCCCCCCTTACTCCTAGCTACCCCCTCCCCATGTCAGATAGATTTCGCCAATTCCCCCGCCCCCAAGCTGGCTTCTGTGGTGCTCCCTCCACATTCCAGCTTGCTCCCACACCCTAGGTCCGGCTGGCTGTCTGGCCCTGCTGGCCTGCCCACATTCCTGTTGAGAGTTGGGCTCTCCCAGAACCTGCCCTGTGGGCTGCTAGCCTCAGCCTCCTCCCTGCATCTTGCCCCAGCCCAAGAGCCTAGCTACGGGACAAGAAAGAGGAAAGGTCACTGGAGGAAGAAGGCCAGTGTTCTGTGGTATCCACGACCCTTCCCTGCCTCCCCAACACTGTGAAAGATAGACTGATGAGACAGTCCTCCTGGTCTGCGGGATGCACGCACCCATGGTCCATCCATCAGGAAATGGCTCACTCATCTTTTACGAGGATTATAATTAAATAACAGCAATTCCCATTTCAATCCCTTTATAAGGTTTACAAAGTGCTTTTTTCATAAGGGCTCCATAAGGGAAGTAATGCATTATTATTCCCATTTTAATGTTTACAAAGATTAGCAGCTCACATTTGGATGGTGGGTGTTTCAGTTTATACAGTAGCCCCAGGAAGAATGGAGACCATGTATTCTTGCCCACACTTTAAGAGAGGGGAAAGGCTTTTCCCACGACCACCCAGGTGTCAGTAGCAGAGCTGAGACCTAGACTCAGACCCCCATCTCTCAGTTGCTGACCCGGGTGTGAAAATGCCACCGGCTGCCCACAGTCCACCCCAGTGTCTTTTCTCCTCAGGCATTGTGGAGATCCGCTCCGTCAGAGTGGGTGTTGTGGCCATAAAAGCAGTCTACACAGGCTTCTACTTGGCCATGAACCGGAGGGGGAGACTTTATGGGACGGTGAGTATTCACCTGGGGAGGTAGAAGGGAGGGGGGCGCATAACAGTCAAGAACATCTCTGGAAGGAACCTCGCTGGGCAGGGCACCAGGGTAAACATAAGTCTCACTACGCTTCTTGGGCGTGGAGTTCCTGGGAATATGGAGATCTGGGTGCGAGTCCTGGTACCGCCCCTGATTCCTGTGTGACCCTGGTCGTGTCCCTCTCTGGAATTCTGAGGGGCTCTTTACGGCCTTTTGTCCCCATCCTGTCTTTCTCTTCCGCAGAGGGAATACAGCACCAACTGCAAATTCATGGAACGGATTGAGGAGAATGGCTATAACACCTACGCTTCGCTTCACTGGAGACATGAAGGCCGACAGATGTTTCTGGCCCTGGATGGACGGGGTGCCCCTCGCCAAGGTGGCCGGACCCGCCGGCAGCACCTCTCCACTCACTTCCTGCCCATCTTGGTCTCCTGAGCCTGAAGAAAGGACTACCGTGTATATATATATATATATATATATATATATATATATATACATATACATATATATATAGATACATATATATATATATATGTATGTATGTATATATTTTTTCCTCTATTTATTATTTTTTAAAAGACAAGCAAGGGAAAGGAAGATGCTTTCCTTCGGAAGACCTGGAAAAAAGGCCTGGAACCTTCTGGAGAGTCCCCAAGTCAGCAACTGGAGAACATAGAGGCCCTGAAGTTTCTGGGATGCTCAGCCCCCAGAGAAGGGGTACTCACCACTAGTTCCAGGCCTCTGAAAAGACCACATATTTGTTGTACAAATACTTGGAACACAAAAATCAAGGATCAGTGCAGCTGTATTAACCTGCATTTCTACAATGCCTTAAGGCTTACAAAATATTTTCCTCACAACAGACCTATGAAATAGGGAGTGCAAGTAAACTTACTCCCATTTTACAGAGGACAAAACTGAGGCCAGAAAAAGGGAAGTGAACTGCTTAGGCTCATACAACTAATCAATGGCTGAGTCAGTACTTAAATAAACCCCAATCTCATGACTTCAAGCTCACTGTTTTCCCCTGAGCACTGGGGTGTAACCCAGTGGCATTGGGTCCCCACTTTCCTTGGAAGAGAAGAGGGTAGGGCTCAGGATCCAGAGGAGATATCTGCTATATAACCCCAAGGGAGTTCTGAGCTTCAGAGTAAGCAGTATGGTAACATCATTGGGTGGGAAGCCCAGCTTTGCCTTTAACTCACAAATGGAGCTGTGACCTTCCCCACTGTGGGCCTCAGTTTCCCCATCTGTATAGTGAGAGATGTTGGACTCAGTGGTTTTTAGCATTCTTTGTTCTATGAGCCATTAACACTCTATGTTCTCTGTTCTAAAAGACCTTCCAACTCTGACCTTCTTTGTCCACTGGCTTTCCGGTTCAGATATTCCATATCTTTTGTTTTCTGGTCCTGTCTGACTCTGATCTTCTATGAACATCCCATGTGTTTGTAAACTCCCGTCCTGACCTAGGTTCTAAGATCCCCTCCAGCTCTGATGTTCTATGTCGTACATTCTAAGGAAAAGACAGTAATATGGGCAAGCCCATTACATGAAAATCCAGATTCATAAATGATAATTAGGACATAAAGCTTTATAAAAAGATTTTTTTTTTTTTTGCTTTTTTTGGTGAGGCGATTGGGGTTAAGTGACTTGCTCAGGGTCACACAGCTAGTAAATGTTAAGTGTCTGAAGCTGGATTTGAACTCAGGTCCTCCTGACTCCAAGGCCAGAGCTCTATTCACTGTGCCACCTAGCTGCCCCCATAAAAAGATCTTTGAAAGAGGGAACTCCCTTGGGGAATTTAAAATAGTACTTTCCTCTCTACCTTACCAGGTATCTGCCAAAAAATAAGCCCAGCCTCTTTCATTTCTAGATGGCCAGGGGCCAGGCTAGACCTGGAATAGGGCAATGGTATGCTGGTAAAGTTTTAACAACCAGGATTTCTGGAGAAAAAGAAAAAGGTATGCAGGCCACACTTAAGTTTAGTCTGCATTATTAACATTTTCTCCATCACTTTCTTAAGTCTAGACAGTCAACAAAACAATAAATCAAGTGCTGATCTATAGCATTTGCCAGTTTCTAAGGTGTAAATAAATATTCACAATAAAAATTTAACAATCAGGTCTTGAGAGCTAGTTAGAAATAGCTTTAACATACCTCTGGCTGGACTTGACACAAAGTGCGTCTGAGAACTGGGTAGCTCCTAGTGTCCTCTCCACCATGACAGGCCCCAGGGGAAGGCTGGACCCAGGTGAGAAAATAGGTTGGCCCTAAGGCTAGACACATAGTGACTATATATCCCTCCCTGGGAAAATGCTTATGCTTTTTCCTCTGAACTTCCTCTACTTCTCTACCATAATGTTACTGAAACTTGGAAGGGACAGATAGGAAAAAGAATGTCAGAGCAAGAAAGGTCCTTAACTACACTAAATGCTCTTCACTTTGTAGACTGGTGCCATTCAAAGACAAGAAGTACTCCTCCCTACAAAACATCTCAAAGGGAGTTTGCCATTGTCAAGTCTTCAGATAAGTAAGAATGACCTTCTATTTGTGAGCTTAGCAAAGCGGTTATCCCTTCCATTCTCATAGGCTTGAATCACCCTGATGAGGAAGACAGGACATGGATTATTACTTGTGTTGTACAGATATGTAAGCTGAGGACTCAGAGCAGGGAAGGGGCTTACCTAAGGAGTCACACATTTAGTGTAGGTAGTGGTAGATTCAGTACCATAACTAAGAGGTGGGTCTTATTTCCTAAAAACAGGCAACTCAAGAGTTAGAATTGGGTCCTGGTCCTGTTTCCATCACTTACTTGTTGTAACCTTCAGCATGCCATTTTCTCTTTGCAATGCCTCAATTTCTTCCTACATTAAGGAATGTGTGTATGAAATAATACCAACACAACCAGCCTCACCTGGTTGTTGTGAGCTTTCTAAAGCACTAATGAAAGCTACATGGGTGGCTATTATAAATTCATGGCTTTTTCTACTACTCTACTATGATGTTACTAAAACTTGGGAGGGACAGATAGGAAAAAGAATGTCAGAACAAGAGGTCCTGTTGTCTGGCCCTCTCATTTTATAGTGGAAGAAACTAAGACCCACAGAGGTGAGCTAGTGCAGACTCAGTTTCCAGTCTGGGGCTCTTTTTTATTCAATAGACTGCTTACTTCTCATATCTGGGTAAAACTCCAGGGTTTTATTCAATTCAATTCCAACAAACACTTATTAAGCACTGACTGTGTGCAAATGGAAGCTCAGTACAGGGGATACAAAGCAAAAACCAAAACATAATCTTTTCTCAAATAACTTACATTCCTTTGGGAGGTCTTACATTCCTTTGGAAGGTCTTGCCTGTCCAAATGAAGGGAACTGGAGAGCAGGAGAACCCAACCAATAATTTTGTTTCCTTTTTACCTAACGTTATTCCCTTAATTTCTTTATATCGTTTCATTGCTATTGTAAGCATTTCTGGCACTATATCAAATAGTAAAGGATGATAGTGGACATCCTTGCTTTACCCCTAATCTTATTGGAAAGGCTTCCAGTTTATCCCCATTACATGTAATGGTGGCTCTTGGTTTCAGACAGATAACTTATATCAAGGAAAGGTCCATTTAGCCCTATGTTTCCTAGTGTTTTTAACAGGAATGGATATGAGTAAGAACAAGGTTGGAGTGAGGTCCCCACTCCCCCACACCTCCATCTCTACCTCCTTACCACTTTTCAGCTACCTCTACCCAGGCCCACAATCCTATCACATCACTCTCCTAGCAGGGAGGGAGGATTTTGCGTCTAGGCCACATATTACCTCAGTTCTGAATTCAAACTCTGTCTTCCTCTCTTCAAGGGAGAGGCCAAGGGAATTTTTTTCTCTACTCTGTCCAAAAGGAAACACCTCATATTAAGACTAGGGCACATACTTGGGTACCTGTGGCCTGAATCACCAAGAAGCCAAGGCCCTTCCCAGGGAGAGAATGGCAGGATGTGGCAAGAGCCTAGTAGGAACCATTCTCTTGAAACAGCAGGTCTGTCTGGCATTTGGTACTCAAGCACAAAAAAAAAAAAAAAAAAAAAAAAGACTCATTTCCATTAGATTGTAAGCTCGTTGAGGGCAGGGACTGTCTTTTGCCTCTTTTTTGTATCCCCAGCACTTAGCACAGTGTCTGGCACATGGAAGATGCTTAATAAATGTTTATTGATTAATTGATTGATTCCTAATTCTAGGCAGCCCAATGCAGATAAGGGTGTTAGCTATGAAAACCAGATTGGGAAATGGACTGAATTTGAGTACCCAGAATCATGTACAAGTGGTCTCACCAGTCAGAAAACTTTCTTTGATATTGACTACTGAAAGGTTCTCATGCCCCCTCAATCACAGGCTTTTTGAAGGCTGAATTCCTAGGGCTCAAATGTTCTGCCATAGGGAATAAGGAGATAGAAGGTTTCCCAGTTAATTAAGTTAATTCAAAAAATGCCAGGCATTGAGGAAAGACATCTTGTCCTGATGGACCTCTAAGTCCTTCGGCTCAAGGTTCCATTGTGAGCTGAGGCAAGGGGAGAAAATTGACCTGGGATGGAAGAACCCCTTGGATAGTGAAGAAGGCTGAAGAGCTAAAGCCAATCTTACATGAGAGTCATCTTTATCCTGGAACACATCCCTCTGCTGCTTCTTTTATTTCTACCTCTAGTAATGAAAGCATAGCACCGGCCTATTAGTGTGGGGGCAAGGTGGTAACAGTGAACAGGGACCTGTCAGAGGTACTGGGTTAGTCTTGGAGCTGCTGAATGAGCTGCATGACCCTGGGCAAGTCACTCCTCATCTCAGCCTCAGTTTCCTCATTTATAAAAAGAGGATAGCTGCAGGTAGCAGATAAGGTGCTGAACTTGGGCATTAGAAAGCCCTGGGTACAAATCTCACATTTCTCACTTTGTAGTTAGTTGTTCAACCAACTCACTTTACCTCTTTTCTCAAAATGGGGATAAAATCTATAGTAACCGAGACAAAAACATGGCTAGAACATTGGACTTGGAGTCAGGAAAACATGAAATAAAATTCTGCTTCACTTACTTAGCTGTGTGACTCTAGGCAAGTCACTTAAACGCTCAGCCTCAGATTCCTCATCTGTACAATGGGCAGTAATAGCAGCATCTACCTCCCAGAGTTGTCATAAAACTCTAATGAGATAATGTACGTGAAGCTCTTTGTAAACCTTAAAGCACTATGTAAAGTCCTATTATTCTGTTATATCAAGCCTTTTAAAATAGATGGCTCCACCTCAGATCCATATTTGGATAGTAGAGTATAAAAAAAAGATCTGTGAAAAATCAGAAAATGCAGAGAACTAACCAAAATTATTATGAGGGGGGCGGGGAATAGCTCCTGATAAGAAATAAATAAAATGAGATTGATTGTTCAGCCCAGAAAAGGTTGAGGGAAAATAGGTTCTAC